GAATATAGGAATGAGAGCCTTTTGAATTTAAGCCTTAATATGAAATGGGAGTTAAAAACAAAGTTTCTATCTAAGGAAAATTTGCTCTTTGTCACTTTCAAATCTTAAGGTTATAAACTCTCTTCTGTTTTTTACATCTTATCTGTACCATATGTTGAAGTAGAATTTTCCTTGAAATTCAGAGGGACACAGACCCAAATAATCTCTGTAGGGTCTAAGTCCAGAATCTGACTTAAACACACTGAGAAAAACCAAACCTTCAAAAATAATCATGATTTTTCTCCCCGAGGTACATCCCCACCACAGTTTAAGAGGCCCACATTTTCGAAGTTCCCTCATCAGGGACAAGAAATATCTTATCCAGAAAGCAAGCTCACAATAAAAAAGAAATGTATAAACCCCTAGAATGGAAAGCTGGAATCACTAAAACCACAGCTCATTAAGGAAGAACAACTGGTCTTGAACCAACCTTACTTCCTAAAGCTAACCTAGAGTAACCAACAGAATAGCATAACTAGCCATCAGCAAGTCCTTGATAGTGTCTCATAATGACCTGTACTTTGGTAGAGAAGTTTAAATGGATGGTAGTAATGTCCATATGAGGACTATGAGCTGGTTGAACAACATAACCACAGAATGCTGATTACTAGATTTAAGCCATATTGCAGACTTCAAGTGCCATTTTCATCCCATGCTTTTCAACAGTTTAACCCATACTTGGACAGAGAAAACAATATGCTTATCAAATTTGTGAAAGACACAAAGCTGTGAGAGATAGTATATACATTATATGACAGAATTACATTGTGCGAAAACTAACATGGAATTTAGGAAAAAAGAAATATAAGGACCTACACTTATTTAAAAAAATATATATATCTTTTCTAGTTAAGTGTAGAAAGGTCTGGTTTATCTGCAGCAGGCTTAAAAGAGAATGAACATATTGGTTCATAGTAAGAACAAAACTTGTGTTTAAGGGGGGAATTATTTACAATGAAGAGGCAATATTCCTGGCCTATTGTGTCCAGAGAAGAACCCCTGTAGATGTTGTATGAACACTTGACAAGCTACAAATGATTTAAATAAAAACAACCAGGATTTTCAGAGGATTTATGTTCCTAATATAAAGCAAAAGCCTATAAAAGAGCTACCTAACTGAAGTCTCAGAAGAATGATTTAACCATCTTCAAATATCCCCATTGTAAATGATCTATGTACATAAAAGCATGAAAATAAGTTCTGTTGGTAGAAATTTCAAGGAAACACAATTTGATTTCATGTCAGTTGACCTTTTCTAACAGTCAGAACTCTACAGTGATGGAATGCGTCAGAAGTAATGTATCCCTCGAGCAAAAGAAGAAGAAACATTTATTTGAAAGTGTTATGAAGGGCATGCCTACAGCATAAGGTTGAAAAGATTAGGCCGAATTGCCTTAGGAGAAAAAGAATTCAACATTTCACTTTTTTTTTTTTTTAATATATTTTATTGATTTTTCACAGAGAGGAAGAGAGAGGGATAAAGAGTTAACATCGATGAGAGAGAATCATCAATCAGTTGCCTCCTGCACACCCCCTACTGGGGATGTGCCTGCAACTAAGGTACATGCCCTTGGCTGGAATTGAACCCGGGACTCCCCTTCCAGTCTGCAGGCCGATGCTCTATCCACTGAGCCAAACCGGTTTCGGCCAACATTTCACCTTTAAGTGTAATGTTAGCTCTGGGTTTTTATACGTGTCCATTATCAGACTGAAGAAGATCCCTTCTGCTCCTAATTTGCTGGGGATTTCTGTCACGGAGGTACTATTGAGATTGGCATTAGAATCCCGTGGAACATGGACAAGTCTCCCTATCTCAACCTCTCTTGCTTTTACCATGTGGTATTTCTGGTGTTCAGGGAGAGCTGATACACTTTCTACACTCTAAATTTTAAAATCTGCATAAACTAGGGCACTTTTTAAAAATCTACATAATAATATGCTGTGTGTGTGTGTGTGTGTGTGCATTTTTTAAAATATATATTTTATTGATTTCAGAAATCTATACTAATAAAAGAGTAATATGCTAATTAGACCAGGTTGACCAGCCATCTTCCACACATCTGACTTCCTTCTGGGCAAAGCCATGGTGGTTGGGGCCGAGGCAGGGGAGAGCAGTTGGGGGCAAGATCAGGCCAATAGAGGAGGGCCACTGGTGGTGAGATCAGGCAGGCAGGCAGAGGCAGTTAGGGGTGATCAAGTGAGTAGTTAGGAGCCAGCAGTCCCAGATTGTGAGAGGGATTGGACCTAAACCGGAAGACATCCCCCAAGGGGTCCCTGATTGGAGAGGGTTCAGGCTGGGCTGTGGGAACCCCATCCCCCTGTGCATGAATTTCATGCACTGGGTCACTAGTAATATATAAAAATGTGACTCCACCCAACTGGTGTGGCTCAAGTGGTTAAGCATCGTCCCATGCTCCCAGAGGTCATGGGTTCAATTCCTGGTCAAGGCACATGCCCCAGCATGCAGGGGGTGGTGTGCAGAAGGCAGCCCATTGATGATTATCTCTCATCAATGTTTCTCTCTCTCTCTCTCTCTCTCTGAATAAATGAAAATAAGCATTTGGAGTGTCTGATGTTCTAAAAACAAGCTTTGGAATATGGTGCTTGGCACTTACTTGCATTTTTTTTTTTCTATTCTCCAAAATTAGCTTCATAGTTTCACATAGATGCCCTGTTGGTTCCTTAAACTCACTATTTTTTAAATATGATATTATATCTTTTTTAAAATATATATTTTTTTTATTGATTTCAGAGAGGGAGGAAGGGAGAGAGAGGAATATCAATGATGAGAGAATACCACTGATTGCCTCCTGCACGCCTCTTACTAGGAGGGATCGAGCCCACACTTGGGTATCTGCCCTTGGCCAGAATCGAACCCAGGACCCTTCAATCTGTGGGCTAATGCTCTATCCACTGATCCAAACCAGCTAAGGCTATGCTATTATCTCGTAAATTCAGTCTATGTTATCCAATACAACAGCTATCAGCCACATATGACTATTGAGCATTTGAAACATGGCTAGTCCGAGTTCACTGTGAAATACACAAAGGACTTATAGATTAAAATTATATTTTGCATATAATGGATTAAGTAACACATAAAATTAAAATTTAATTTTTACCATTTTATTTTGCTTTCTTATTGTGTCTATTAGAAAATTTAAATTACATATGTGCCTCTCACATTTTCACTGAATAGCACTGCTTAAGACTTCCCTGTATCTCTCACCCAGGATCAGAACCTGATGCCCTCTTGGATTCCTCTCTTCAAATCTAAAATATTTCTCTTGATTTTTTTTTCAGAGTCAACATACCCTTTACACAGCCAGCACTTAGCACTGTAATCATCACATCTGGGAGGTTTTGTTGTTTTGCTTATTTATGCATTCATTGGTTGCTTCATGTATGTGCCCTAACTAAAGATCAAACCTGCAACCTTGGCACACTGAGACGATGCTCTGAGTACCTATCCAGGGACCAAATGCTTATTTTTCAAAAGTGACTAATTCACCACAGCGTCTTTGTGCACTTCCTGGAGAGTACATATGAGCAAGATTTTTCAACTTGTAAATTCTGTGCAATAGACATGAATTTAGTGATCCCTTATAACTCCTTCCATTCAAAGGCCTCAGTTTAGAAAAATGTATATACTAGTGGCCCAGTGCACAAAATGTGTGCACATTAAAAGGGGATTAATTAGAGGAAATAATTTAATATTGTTGTTTTCCCTTTCTCTATAATAGAAGTGTCAGAGATTAAAGAAATTTAGTAAAATGTATATGAAAACCTTCCTCCTGTCAGAGTCTAGGATGCACCATGGGACCCAGAGTCAAGTCTGCGTCTACTCACATGTGCCTGAAAATCGCCTGAGATCCAAACCCAGTTGGCTCCCCTCCCCATTGTGCTAGATCTAGACCTGGCCAGTCCCACCTTTGTCAAGCCCCATTGGGCAAGGGACGTAGCCTCAGGTCCCCTAGTCCAGTGCCAAGATTGGGGGCATGGTCTGAGGTCCCCCAGCCCAGCCCAGGGCAGGGGGCATGCCTTGAAGTCCCTCATCAAGCCTTGCCAAGTGGGGGCCACACATGAGATCCCCTGTTAGCCCCACTGGGTAGGGCACTGCCTGAGGTCCCCTGGCCTTGGTGCTGGGGCAGGGGGAGCAGCCTGAGGTCCCCTAGCCCAGCACCAGGACGGGAAGCATACCTTGAGGTCCCCTGTCAATCCCTGCTGGGTGGGGGGCACACCCTGAGGTCCCCCATCAAGCCCCAATGTGCCAGGGGTACCTGAGTTCCCCCGACCCAGTACTGGGAGTGCACCTTGAGGTCCCTCCTTAAGTCCCACTTGTTGGGGTGTGTGGCCTGAGGTCCCCTGTCAAGCCCCATCTGGTGGGGGGCATGGCCTGAGGTTCCCAGGCCTGGCTCTGGGGCAGGGAGAGCAGCCTGAGGTTCCTCTAGCCCAGCACCAGGATGGGAAGTGCACCTTGAGGTCCCCCGTCAAGCCCAGCCGGGTGGGGGGCATGGCCTGAGGTCCCTGTCAAGCCCCACAGGGGCGGGGGAGGGTGTAGCCTCAGGTCCCTGCTGATTGCTTGCTAAGGCTACTTAAGGTAATTTGGCCTCAGCCATCTTTGTGATGGAGTGATGGTCAATTAGCATATTCCCTCTTTATTAGATAGGCTTGCTAAAGTCTTTTCCAGAAGTTCTGCTCTTACTCCTTAATTCTTCAATTAATCAGTGCTTTTAAGACAAAAAAAAAAAACATAATAAAGAAAAGAAAGTAAAGGAAAGAGATCTCCTGGTGAAATAAAATACAGCAATTAAAATGGAGACAAACTGACAACTATTGTACAATAGCTATAAAGTTTCAAGGTAAACAATGGTTGGAAAGTTAATTGTTTACCAAACTCTCGTTAGTTCAACCTGGCTCACCGTTGAAAGAATGCTATGGAAATTGACCTGTGTTCAGATACGTCACTCCCATAAGCCAACCACCTGTTGGATCTCAAGTGTGTACCAGCCGAGGGACAGTCTTCGCTTGCTCAGAGCTGTTTATATTAGAGGTATTTACAAAAGGGTGTGTGATAGGAAAAGTAAATAACTGATCTTCACTCATCCTGCTTCCTGTTTTCTTCTTGGTTCTTCAGAGGTACACTCTCTTCTGGGATAAAGCCTTGCCTCACGAAGTGGCATGAGGAAGTGCCTGCACTCCACAGCCCGGGAGAGCTCAGTGAAAATGTGTGTTCACCACGGCAGGCTGTCCTGTCCCGACCCCGAGACACTGAAGCCTCTGTGTGCATCGTGCTCATGGGTTCCTTCCTAGCCACTCTCGGGGACAGGAATGCTTGGTAAGTTTTTATGAAATCTTCACATCTTCTTGCCTCTAAGTAAAATTTGTTTTTATTAATTCAGATTGACTGATATGTATTTCATTGCCATGGATATGAAATTTCTCTTACTGTGCTTTCTCCAGATACTTTTTTAATGCAAAAGAAATATAGCTAGAAGAGGGAGAAGGCCAGGAAATCTCTACTTTGTAAATCATTCCCTCATATTTTTCTTCTCCTTTTTGTGATTGATTTGTGTGCCTTTTTTTTTTTCCCCAAGTTAGAAGATATGCTTTCATTTAATTCCAAGGTAGAATTAAGCAAATTAAATTAAATCACAAGACTTTACTCATACTCTCTTATTGTTGAAAATATGGTAGTACCAAATTTGGTAAAAGCAAGAAATAAATTCAAAGAAAGCATTTCTGAAGAGACATAGTTAAATAATTGTTTATTTTTAATTTAAGACTAACAACAGATAAATGATAACATTTCCTCCTGAATATTTATAAAGCCCTTTTTAACAAACTTCTGATGATATAAATCTGTGACCAACATTATTTTGTTCTGGATATTTAACTAGGCAATCGCAGGTAAAAATGTTATGGGATATGCCTCAAAAATTCAAATCGGAGCAAACTGATGCTCCTGAGTGGCCTATTGGGTCATGTAACAAGGCACAGAAAATTCACACAGTCTCATGGGGTACTGTTCTGTTGAGACAGAGCAGTAATCAGATTATCAAAAAAAATAAAAATTCTCTGGGAATATTATAATTAATCTTTATAAGCACACACACAAAATGCTATAGTTTTATTTTTTATATAAATAGAAGCCCAACCAAGAGTCATTTTACCTAAAACTGTAGCAACAAAGACTTTTGTTCCCAACACTTTATTATGAAAATTTTCAAACATAAATAAAAATTAAGATAATTACACCATGAACACTAAAATACCTACCATGTGATTCTATAATTATCATTTTGCTACATTGGCTTCTTCACATGCTATCCAATATTCAGTCAATTATCCATCCACCTATTCATCTTCTTTACATTTAAGATGTGTTTTTAAGTTGCAGACCTCAGTCTATTTTATCTAACATTTAGGGATGCATATCACTAACTAGAGTTTAATAGTTGCTTAACATTTTCCTTGAGGTAAGTTTCATGTTCAATAAAATGCACAATTTTTACTATACCATTTGATGTGTTTGGGTAAAAAATATATTTGGATTAAAAATATATATGTATTACACAGAGCTAATATATATATATATATATATATATATATATATATATATATATATATATAAAATCTGTGTAATCCAAGCCCCTGTCATGATATACAACATCATTATTCCAGATCTGCAATGTTTCCTCATTCCCCCGCCCAGTCAGTCCCTGCTCCCACTCCCAGAGGCAAACACCCTTCTTCTCTTTCATACCTGCACGACGGCCATTGATGCGTTTGTGTGTATCAATAACTCATTCCTTCTGTATTGGTGAGTAGTATTTCAATACTACAACACTGTATGAATATGCCACAGTTTATCCAGTCTTTTATTGATGGACACCTGAGCTTTATTCAGCTTCTGGCTAATATGAATAAGCTTGCTATGAATATTCTTATACAAATCTTTCTCTGGACATGTTTCCAGCCTCTTGTATAAATACCTCTTGTATAAGTCCTGGGTCATAAAGTAGTGATTATATCATTTCATCACCCTCACCAACACTATGAGAATTTCAGTTCCTCCACATCCCTGCCAGTTTTGTGGTGGTCAGCCCTTTAAATTTCTGTCTTTCTGGTGATTGAGTAATGCTGTCTCACTGTGGTTTTATTTGCATTTATCTGATGACTGATATTGCGGAACACTTTCCCACGTGCTTAGTGCTCATTTGTATATCACCCTTCGTTAAATATTTGGCTTTGGCCCACTGTTTTAAAAATTGGATTGTTTATCTTTTTATTATAGACTTGAAGGAGTTTTTAGAAGTATATATTGTGGCTACAAGTCCTTTGTCAAATATATATTTCCCACTTTGTTGCTAGCCCATTTTTTAAAAAAGGTATAGTTTGAGCCCTGTCCAGGTATCTCAGGTGGTTAGAACATGGTCCCCATATGCCAAGGTTGCAGGTTCAATCTCTGATCAGGGCATTCTACAATACTGTCTATTAAATTCATTTTTATAATCATAAAAATATCCCACTGGATCATTCCAACATCCAAATCTATATCAAACCTATCAGACCTCCACTCACTCATCAATTTGATATTGATAAATATTAATTAAGCAACTACCATGTGCCAGGTACTACTTCAGGTACTGTTCTAGGCTCAGTAAATGAAACAAGCAAATATCCTTGCCCTTGTGATATTTAAATTCTATTGTTATACTAAATCAAAAATACCATAATAAATAGATAATTAGAAGGTGAGAAATGCTTTGCAAAAGGAAATTGGTGAGGTCCAAATATAAATAGGGTGGTAGGAGTCTACCATATTGAGAAGGTAACACACTTTAGCAAAGATTTGAAAGAGGGAAGCATTCAGCTATATGGAAGAAGGGCTTTTCAGGCAGAGGTCAGTACAAAGGCCCTAAGATAGAAGTGTGTCTGGAATGACAGAGCAATAGCCAGGAGGCCAGCGCAGCTGGAACGGAGTGAGAGAGGGATACAGGAGGAGAGAGGTTTTGCAATACAATGGGAAGCTGATCATTTAAAGATGGTAGCTTTTACTCTGAGTGGAGTGGGGAGTTATAATAGAATTTTGAGCAGATAGGTGTTAGAGTATAACAAATTACTTTTGAAAGATTGGACTTAAGAAAATCAAGAAAGAAGCTGATCATTTAAGAGGTTATTTCATTAAGTTTTGTAAGGGCTAAGAGTACCTCATATTAGGGTAGCTGCAATCTCAGGGTGGGATTTTGAATATATTTTTAAGATAAAGCCAACAGAATTTCTTGATTACAGATATAAAGTGAGAAAGAAAGAGAAGGTTGAATATGACCAAGGATTTTGTATTAAGCATCCAGAAGGAAAGAAATAAATTGGAATAACGCAATAATTCACTTTTGAACATCAATTTGAGAAAAGGTGTAAAAAATCCAAAGATACATGAGATCATTGTCCAATGAAATCTCTAAAGTACCTTGCAGCTCAGAAATACTGTTACATTTTTTTAAAACATCTTTGGCCATCCATGATGAGTTTTTAATTACTATTCTAAGCCAAAGCATGAAAGTGCCCATTTTGAGACCTATCATAATTTCTTTTGTAGTATTTGAGTGTCAACTCTTCATTTTATTTTTTTAATATATTTTTATTGATTTCTGAGAGGAAGGGAGAGGGAGAGATTAAAACATCAATGATAAGAATCAGCTGCCTCAGGATCAAGCTGGCAACCTGGGGATGTGCCCTTGACCAGAATTGAACCCAGAACCCTTCAGTCCATAGGCCAATGCTCTATCCACTGAGCAAATCTAGCCAAGGCCCAATTCTTCATAAAAAAACAACAACAAAATCATAGGATTTACCAGTAATTGAGCTCCGGGTCAGGGTATAACTTTATCAGAGAAATATTCCTGTGATTATTATGAACACAAAAAAGTAAACTAAAAATTTCATTTCAAGAATTCCATATAACAAATTGAATAGTTGATTTCAATTTCAAGAATTGAATTGATATCTATTCTTCACATAACCATTTTGTGCCTATTATTAAGCCACCATTGTTACCACACAAAAAAACTGTTTGTAAACTGTTCTTGAGCCTTAGCAAGGCTTATCTTATAATTTTTAAAATGTAGTTGCACAGATAGATACAATTCCTGCCCTTTGGAATCTAGTAATCTACAAATCATAATATTGACTCACAATAAGGGAAGCCAAGGTCAATTACTCAAGCATACAGTAGGGCCTGTAGTTGCAAAGAATGGGGTCAGTAAGACTTTATGTTCAGCAGTCCTGTGGCCCACCATCACAGCTATGCCTGACAAGCAACAGGTAACCTCCACCTTGGACATAAGACTCAGCTGTATGAGATATCTAATGCTTGTCTTGCTTCCAGTGCTCTGGCAAGCTCAGCCAAGCTCAACAGGAAGGAGGGGAACATGTGGAGAGCCACCCCACTTCTTCCACCCCCAACAGTCACATTGCACACTTTCTGCACAGCCTAGTGGTCACAAAATGGGAAACCATACTTCACTTTAAGTGGAAACTTTGTAATGTGAAGTTCAAGTTTGGGGGGTGATTATACATATGTCTGTGTTAAAATAACAAGAAGCATGGGCCAAACCAGGATAGCCCCTGCAAGGTTTTCGGGAGCCCAAAGCCTGAAGATATACCGAACATCAATCTGGAAATCAAGGGGATGGGAGCAGTATAGGTATAATAGAAGTTTCTTAAAAGCTTCTTCTATTTCTAACAAAATGTAATGCAACTAAAATGACTAAATTAATGTCTAATTTAACCAAAATATTTAACAGCACCTAATCAGAGCCCCCAATACTGCCGTAAAATAAGATATGAAACATTTGCTTATATGTAGTGCACAATGAATCTAAACTCTATCAGTTGAAAAGCAGTTGTGAGTGGATTTACATGATTTTGTACTGCCTGCAAGAGTGAAATACTTTGAAGAATAAGCAAAGAGGAGTCTCTAAAGACACCTATATTCATGCTCAACTTGGGCAAAAATAGAGCTCAAATGGTCATGAATTAAAAAAAAACACACACACTAGAGATCTTTTTTTTTTTTTTTTTTTTTTTGCCGTCACATGGGGATGGATGCTTATTGTTTTGCTTAGAGGATAATATTTATCTAGAGACATGAATATTTAGCAAGTGCCACCAAGAAAACCAAGTTTCTGCCTTCCCAACTGTCTTAGTCCCTTTGGGCTGTTAGAATAAAAATACCATGGACTGGGTGACTTAAGAAAACATTCATCACTCACAGTTCTAGAGACTGGGAGTCCAAGATCAAGATGCTGGCAGATTCGATGCCCCATGAGGCCCTGCTTCCTGTTTCTTAGACAGCCTCCTCTCACCCTGTTCTCACGTGGCAGAAGGGCTGAGAGCTCTGCAGGGTCTCCACCCTCATAACCTAATCACCTCTCAAAGGCTCCACCTACAAATACATTGAGAGTTAGGATTTCAATATATGAATTCTGGAGGGACACCTACACACGATCCATAACAAGTCTACAAAGCAAAAAGATAATTCAGGAACACATATACGACAGAACGTTGTTTTGAAATATGTGAAGGATTACAGTTCAAGGCCTTGTTTTATAGGTGATAATTACACCATGACAGGAACATAATGTATAACCCTCTACACTCCTTCAAACACAAGAGAAAAAGGTGAGACTGGTTTCAAACTACTCAAATGAGGTAATCATTCCATCCAGCTGCTAAGTCTTATTCATATTTTTTTTTTTTTTTTTACAAGAGACAGAGGTACATTGTCTCAGAAAAGAGCAGGCAGACACATCCAGCAGGCCAGAGGAATGGTATGCATATTGGCTTAGTGGCCAGCCTTATGCTTTCAAGTGAGACCATGCAAATACAGTAAATGATATCACTTCTAGACTTCCTCCTAAGGCCTCCGAAAACAAGCAGAGGAATTCCCGGGTCTCATGGAATTATTTTCAGTCTCTAGCTTTCTGTTCAACTTGGCTGTAAAAATTCAAAATACTAAAAAGCCCACCTGGCGTGGCTCAGTGGTTGAGCATCAACTGATGAACCAGGGGGTCACAGTTTGATTCCCCGTCAGGGCACATGCCTGGGTTGCCAGCTAGATTCCTGTAGGAGGCGTGCAGGAACCAGCTAATTAACGATTCTCTCTCATCATTGATGTTTCTCTCTCTCCTCCCTTCCTCTCTGAAATCAATAAATATAGTATATATACATATACATTTTAAAAACACACACACAATACTAAAAAAAATCCTTAGTTCCCCCCAAAAATTACTTACTCTAATGAGAACTCTGTATTGACTCAGGCAGATTTTTCTTTGGATTAAGGCAGTGGTAAGCACATTCATTAGTCAACAGAGCCAAATATCAACAGTACAACAACTGAAATTTCTTATGAGAGCCAAATTTTTTAAACTTAAATTTTTTCTAATGCCACTTCTTCAAAATAGACTCACCCAGGCCGTGGTATTTTGTGGAAGAGCCACACTCAAGGGGCCAAAAGAGCCCCATGTGGCTCTCAAGCCACAGTTTGCCGACCACAGGATTAAGGCAATCATTTAACCCAGTCCTTCCACCCTCTCCTCTGTGCATACTCACAGCATTTGTACTGGGAAAGAGATCCAAAACCAAGGCACATATTCCCAAGCAATCATAACAGCACTCAAGGGTTTATTCCAGCATCCATGAAATAAATGGATGGGGCACAATAAGAGCTGTGAGCATGGCAAGGAGCCACCAGAGAGAAAAATCAAGCAACAAATGAGAAGAAACACATCTCCCCTATTTGGGCAATAACAGCAGCAAACAAAACATCAATCCCCAGCAGGCTGCCTAGTTTATTGAAGCCTTAAGACCATTTTCAAAGTATACTCATGTCCTCTGGGTAGGATTACTCAAGAAATACAGGGCTTGATATCACTAAAATTTCTGAATATAACTTCAGCCCAGATTTTCTGTCCACAGCTATGAAATCTGGATCTCTGTGTTAACTTGCTTGTTTATGTGCTGCTTTTGTTGCTCATTTATTCACTTACATTCATTCCATGAGTATCTATAGAAAAATTACTGCCTACCAGTCATTTCTTATAACTCTGCAGATTCAGAGATAAACAATAGAGGGGCCAACTTTCACAGAGCTTTATTTCATGGGAAGAGAAAATTCAACAACAATAAAAAAAAAATGCAATGGATAAGAATGGTGATGAAAATAAAACAGGGTAATGAAGAGTGCTCAAAACCTGGCTTAGACTGGAGCTCAAGAAAGGCCACTACTAGGTCCTCTTGTATGAGCCTCTCTGACTGGACCAGGAAAGCTCTGGAAGCTTTATATTTACAGCAGAGGCTGGGAGGTGAAGCTGAGCTTCACTCCACTCCCAATGCAGATGACCAAGAATGCAAAGGAAACTTCGGTGAAATTGACCAGAGTTTCAACTAAGTGGCTGAATGTGCCTTGATGAGACTGCAAGCGAAACTGAAAGGAGTGGAGGAAGGAACCGTGCTCAGAGTGGGTGGACAAGTGAATTTGCTCATACAGCAGGCCATGGACCCCAAAAACCTCAGCTGACATTTCTCAGGATGGAAAGCTTCAATGTGATATTTGACATATGAATTGCCCTTGAATTCAACCCTCAGAAATTATAGGTTGGCCCTTTATTTTTAACCAACTTACATGCAATACTGAATATAAAATTTGAGAAAGAAAGAAAAGAGGGAGGGAGGGAGGGAGGGAGGGAGGGAGGGAGGGAGGGAGGAAAACAGACCTCTGCAGAAAAGTGGTGGTTGAACAGAAAAGGGAAGGATGCACAGAGACTAGATAAGAGAAATTTTGGAGGGAGATCCAGGCCCAACCGCATGAGTGAGGTAGGTAGGACCAGGGACACAAACAAGATCATTGTGCTGGAGCCTAGAGAGCATCACAGGAGCATCACCAGAGAGGATGTGGGCAGGTGGGAGTTAGGGATTTATTAGAAGGAAAGCCATTTTTGAGCTAAGCAGATAAGTAACATGATCTGACTTACAATTATAAAGATCATTTTGAAGGACTGCAGGAGTGCAGGATGATTGGGTAAAATGAGTCCAATGACTTCATTTTATTCTCCAAAAGGAGAAGATAATATGAGTTTAATCAGTTTCTGGGGATTATCTAAATAATAATGACAAATCAAGGTGGCCATGCTCTAGTTATTAGTAAATGACTGCAACTTAAATAAGTCTAGATAAGCTTAGAAGTGATATACGATATGATAAAAGGGGTAAGATTTATTTTTATTATGTAAAAATGCATATGAGTTATCTACAGTTTTCTACTAAATAATAATTATGGTTAATCCTACCCTGAGCTAAACTACAGGAAACATGTGATTCATTTAAATGTCAACTCAACTGAGATGGGCAAAGTGTCCAGAGATCATGAAACTGAACAACCAAGGGGTCCAGGCTGCCTGTCACTAGTTGAACCAATTAAACAGAGACAGGGTTGAATCACATATAAGCATTTATTCCAATGCCAACAGGATGGGAAAGCAGCAGGTCATCCACAAAACTCTGCTCTGCCCTCCCCATAGCCAGCCTCTTATATTGGGCAGAAAGACAAAGATTACATGCGAAAGTATGCAAGGTATAATGGTTACAGGTAATAGGCAGTGTAGACTGGGTAAACAGAATTGTGACCTCCTGGTTCAAAGGTTGATGCTCAACCACTGAGCCATGCTGGCCAGGCTAGGATTTTTTTTTTTTTTTTTCCATCTGTTTTGCCCTAGTCAGTTTGGCTCAGTGGATAAAGTATTGGCCTGCAGACTGAAGGGTCCTGGGTTCGATTCAGTCAAGGGCGTATGCCAGGATTGTGGGCTCAATTCTCATTGGGGGTATGCAAGAGGCAGCTGATCAATGATTCTCTCTCATTGTTTGATGTTTCAATCTTTCTCCCTTCCTCTCTGAAATCAATATCTGCTTTGTTGTAATGAGCTTTAATTAGCCCCTTAGGGCAAAGAAGCTGAGCCATTTAGCTGCCATCAAATTTGCCTACAATACCTGCTGATTTCAAATTCTTGAGATTCTCAAAATGTCCTGAGGCTCCTTCCTCACCATTTCTCAGAAAAGTAACCTTTGTTCCTTACCTGGAAAGACTGCCATGAACCACATGATCGAGCAAGGTACCAGGCAGGCTATTTCTCCAAGGTGCTCGTATTGCCTTCAAAGTCAGTTTTTATTCCTTAAAGCTTTTTGGTGATATCCAGAGTACAGGCATGTGTCTCTCAAATATGATGTTGTAGTCAAAGTCTTGGTTAATAAAACCACGATTGGAAACTGGTCTTATTGAATTCATACAGAGAAACATATTGCCATGTCTCACTCATTAAGTATTACTAAATTCTGGAGGGATCAGTGAGGCAGAAAAATATATAATTTGCCAAGTGACTTTGAGAAAAGAAACAAGCTTGGCCGTCATGGCTCAGTGGTTGAGCATCCACCTATGAACCAGGAGATCATGGTTCAATTCCCAGTTAGGTCATATGCCGGGGTTGTGGGTTCAATCCCTAGGGTGGGGTGTGCAGGAGGGAGCCAATCAATGATTCTCAGCATTGATGTTTCTATCTGTCTCTACCTCCCCTTTCCTCTCTGAAATCAATAAAAATATAATTTAAAAAAGGAAAAGAAACAAGTTTCATTATGTCTGAAAAACAAAAAAGGTTAAAAATCAGCAATATTTTCAGCAAAAGTTACAAAAACTATATAATTATTTTCAGTTAATTCCGTCCTATAATCATTTTTTGTTTCTCCTGATTTTCCTTGCCAGTATTTCTATAAATCCAGGTATAGAGGTTTTTTTTAAATATATATATATATATATATATATATATATATATATATATATACACACACACACACACACACATACACACACACACACACACACACACACACACACACACCGTATTTTTCGGACCATAAGACGCACTTTTTTTCCCCCAGAAGTGGGGGGAAAAAGTCCCTGCGTCTTATGGTCCAAATATAGCCTACACATATACTTTAAAAAAAAATTTTTTTTTACTTGCCCGGCTCTGTGTAGTCTCTGTGTGCTTGCCCGGCTCTAAAATGGTTCTAAATGCTGCTGTTTACTTTACAGGGTTGATTACATGTGTTTATGACTGAAATGTTGGGTTTTAATGCACAGAAAATATTTTAGGACACTATTTGTTTCAGAATCTTTTTTTCTTCATTTCCCTTCTCTAAAAACTGGTGCGTCTTATGGTCCGGAGCGTCTTATGGTCTGAAAAATACGGTATATATGTGTGTGTGTGTGTGTGTGTGTATATATATATATATATATATATATATATGTGTGTGTGTGTGTGTGTATTTATTTTTATTTTTTTTTATTTTTAGAGAGAGAAGGGAAAAGAATAGAGAGATAGAAACATTGATGAAAGAGGAAGTCATCATTAATTTTTAGGTGACTAGTAAGTAATTTCCATTCCTCAGATTAGCAATACATTCACATTTTTATGAGATAGATTTCAAATAAAATACAATACATAATCATTAAAATATTCAAGAGCACCTCTAGATTCTCTGTAATAAGATGCCAACAGTAAGCAAAATCAGATTTCAGTATCCTATTATTTCAAAATATCTCAATATTTAATAATTTGCATTTTTTTAACTCAGCAAGACGCCAAAGTTTTAAGTTACCTAGGTTACCAAAGACTTTGGAACCATATTTAGGTATATATATTTATTACTGAAAAGCTTTATCAACATCCTTCATTTTAGATACATCTATTTATTATGTCGTAACAGCTTTGTGAGATTTTAAAGCC